TTGCATTTTTCAATTTTTTTTTTTCCCAGGTAACTTATGTGGCCTGTGGCCCAATGTAAGGGCATTGTTAAAATAAACTCATTTTTTAAAACACAATAACAGAAAAACTTTATCACTTTTAGTTGTTTACACTTTGTTAAAAAACAAAAAATCAAAACAATTTTATTCTATTGTTCCATAATAAAATTAATATGAAGTCATAACCCGTTCCTAGAACTGCTGCGCTTGTGGAACTCTTTGAAACATGGGTAAGCAGAGGGGCACTTCACACCCCCTCACACAAAAAAACGGTTTCTGCGTGTTTGGGGGCTTTTGGGGTATGCATACATACAAAACACCTCTTCGAGCATTTTTTTGGGCAGTGTAGGGGGCAGTTGTTTGGGGTAGTGATCACCAGGCCTCAAACGAGATGACGCTGTGGGCGCGGTCTATTGCAGGAGTTGCCCCTTTGTACTTTGCAAAAATTGTTGTTATAAGGCAAATTCCCTATTTTTGGGTTTTGTTGGTCTTCAATTTGTATAGTTAAAAGCTTTAGCTGGATACAAAAAGATGGAAAAAAGTTTGAAAACCCATTTATAACTTTTGCTACACAGTCGCAACCCAATCTGCATGTCACATTTGCCCACTAAGCGCATATTGGGGTTGTAGTCCATGACAGCTGCGGGTTTTAGAATGGGTTCTTTGGGGTCTCTTTGTTTCCCCCCACGGGTACATTTTTTTTGTGGAACTGGTCAACAATGGACTACGTTTGTCATGCCACCAAAATCCCTGATGTCATTGGCAGCAAAGGTTTGCCCCTCACCTCTGCGAGTGCCAGGTCAAACCCTTTGGGGAATTTTTGCGATTACCCCACTGTGCCACCACGCTGCAAGTTCACTCGCAAAAAAATCACTGAGTAAAGGGGCTTGTGTACCAGATCAGTATAACATAGCCCCTTACCAAGATAGGGTTTTCCACATTGTTCGAACCACATCACCAGAGATACCCAATAACTCGGGTATCTTCAAAGTATTACTGCCGTGTACACAATAATACTAAAACAAGACCACTTCGCAATCACACAGTACAAATAGCTTTATACCAAAGCGTTTTCCCCTTGTTGGTATATATTGCTTTAATGAGAGTCTTCCTTTGAAAAAATCAAGGGCTCATCAAAAACAAGCTCCTGAAGGGAAAAAATACATGCGCACTTTTGTTTCAGGTACATAAAAACTTTTTTTATCTTTTTTTAACCGTCGCTTCTGCAGGCCTGGTTTTGTCTGAAAAGTGAAAATACGCAACGACAGGAAAAAAAAAAGATTGAACCTATTGTCACTAAAACCTGGAGTTGAAATCAGGCGACGTTGTCCAGTATGTGGTGACAGTGTGCTTTTACAATGTGGCATAAGCATTATTGTGGCAAAAACAGGTTTAAACTCGCCACAGTTGTCTCCTTCCCCTTGTGTAGCCGTGATTTTGGTGGGGGAATTTTAAATTTTCCATGGTGTAAATTACGTATGTGTTGGTTTCCCTGACAATGATGTCCCTCCGGGGTTTTATGAAGAATAACTAAAGCGTCCGTTCCTGGATTGTTCCCCAATGGACAAGATGGTTTATTCCCCTTTTTGTTTCATCAAAGTCATGGGGACTGGGGAAAAAACTCGTCACCGTCCTGCCAATCCCAGATGCGGGCTGCTGGTGGGGTCGGATTTGTACGGGTTGTGGCTGTGGTTGTGGCTGTGCAGGTTTTTTGGTGGTGCAGGTTGTGGCAGTTTGGGGGAGGTGGGCTGTTGTTTGCGAGTCACCGGTGGTAGTGCGTGGCCCCGGGGATGGCCCATGGGGGCCTGCCCCCCTCACTATCACCCCCACTGCCTCCCCCTCACTGTCACCCCTTCATTTTCCCCCTTTCAATATCTCATCTTCACTATCAGGGCGTGGGGGTTTTGGGGCCCCGGGAGTGCTCCCAGAGTTTTTCCTTTCCCCCTTAAAAACATAAAAACATACCGACCCCATGCTACGTCGTACATACTGGGCTTCCTGGGTATTCACTCTCCTGTCACTAGAAGCTTTTAATGACCCCTTTAAATCACTTCCCCTACACTACACATCCTGCTATCACGGGTGTTGTACAGACCAAATGTTTCCCCTTTTTGTCCTGGGACGGGAAGGGGAATGTGAACAAGCCGGCACAGACCCGGGCGAAGGTTGTGGGTCATCGGGTTTTGTCCTTTTACGTTTTCCCCTGGGCACTTTTTTTGGTAACACTCACTTGAAAACCTTGAATTCACTGTCACTGACTTTTTTTATCGCTGTTAGAGCTTCCTTTTGGAAAAAAAAGACCCCAATCCCCGAGGAAAAAGGGAACTTCTTACCCAAGGCATGGTGAAAATGGACTGACAACTGGGGTTCCCACAAGCACCCCGAGGTCCGAATTTTTTCACAGGGTGCACACCGACCACTGAGACCCATTCTCTCCCGTGTAGGCCCACAGGGCCTTTGGCGCGCGAAATTTTAAGCCCCTAGAATTTGTGGTATAAAAACGTCAGAAAAATTTTGGGTCTAAGAGTATTTAACGCGGAACAGTCAAAGGGGTTAAAAACTATGTAGGTCCCGCCTCCACTACATCATTTTCCCGACTATTCCCCTTCCTGCAACTCTGTGACTGAAGAAAAACTTCCTAACATCCCTGTGTTCATCTGAGTCTTCAAATTTCAATGTGACCTTTGTTGCTGTGTCCATCTCTGGAAATCCTGTCTCCGTCCACCTTGTCAACTCCTCCCCCAGATTTTATGGTTTTTATCATTCCCCCCCAAATCCCCATTTCCCAGTTTTGGTGAGGTCAATTTCCCTTTAATCCTTTGCTGTCATACCCCAGATTAAAGTTCTTATTCTGTTGCAAAATTTTTTGAAAAAAAAAAAAATTTCATTTAAAATGATAGAGAATTTTTTCCCGATTTTAAGACCCAAAAGACAAATGTGATGGAAAATTGGGAAATTACCCCTTTAAATTGGTTTGGCGTTTCACCATTTTGGAACCCCTATTTTCGGCCAATCCATTGTTCGTCAACCAAACCATAGCTTTTTTTTAGAACCCTTTTGTTCTATTGAGAGAAAAAAAAGCCCCCCTTTTACCAATTTCAACTACCAAAAAAGTGGCAGAAATTGGCATTTTGGCCAATTTCACACAAGTTTCAAAAGAGCCAATTTCAAAAAGGGTCCAAAATAAAAAATGCAGACTTCCCCTGGCAAAAAATTAACATTTTCTTCTATCGTCCGTCCCAGGCCCCTCTTTATTACTCTTGTTTTTTAAATTTTAAATTTTTATTCCAAAAAAAATAAAAGTTTTCCTGTTACACATACACTGCTGCATTATGTAATAATGTATAAATAATGTAAACCCCATTTGTGATGCGTATTGAATGCTGGTTTTGGACAATTGGACAATGACGTCTTTTGTTTATCTTAAATTTTGGCAAAAATTGAACTTTTCCTTTAAATTGAGCTCAATTTCAAGGCCTTTTCATTGTGAAACCAATAAATCATCTTTATTTCTGTAAATGTTTTCCCTTTCAAACAAGTGAGACCAAGAAAACGAGAATACAACCATAAATACTACCAAAAATACACCTAGAGTCAGCATTTTGATCCAAAAACACGGTTGTTTTTTTTTTTTCTTTATGCACTGTGGCTGCGGATTTTTTTAAAATGTGCACACTGACCACACAGACCCATTCTCTCACAGGGGGGCCCCACGCTTTCTCCCCTTTTAATTTTAAACACTGAATTTTGGAGTATAAAAACACAAAAAAAAACGGTCATGAGACGTATATGTTGACCCAAACAATCAAGGGTTAACCCACCTCATAGGCCATGCCCTTTAGTCCGGGACTATCTTGTTGCAAAACCCTTTTCATTCTCTAGTTTCCTTAGTTCTTGGCCAGTGTGGGGTTTCCAAACGGTGCTGGCATACTCTAATATAGGATAACATGGTACAGGGCCTGAACGATTTCCTGTTAAGATGTGGAAGTTTTTCATGGTTTTCTAGCCATGGTACCTTGTTTTCCTTTGAGGGTTTTAGAGTTTAACAACTTCAGAGCCTGGCCAGGGCCAGGCTCTAGCGCAGCATTATTTGGTTGATGTGCCCTCAGGGGATGTGCCCGGTGTTATATACCCCAAAAACCTTTTCCCTTTAGTGATTTGCAGTCTCTGGCTCCCTAGCTGTCTCGTCTGTGGTCTTTTTTTTCCCCCTTTCCCCCAAACTTTATGACTTTTCACTTTTGGGGGTTTAAAAAAGGAGCCCGTTGCTGGGTCAGGCCTGCAGTCTGTCCAGATCCCTTTGTAGTTCTGCCTGGTCCTCGTCCAATTGAGTTCTTCTCATCAACTTCACATCATCTGCAAACAGGGACACTTCTGAGTCTATTCCTTCCATCATGTCATTCACAAATACCAGAAACAGCACCGGTCCTAGGGCTGGCCCCTGTGGAACCCCACTCGTCACAGGCGCCCATTCTGACACCTCACCATGTACCATGACTTGCTGTTGTCTTCCTGACAGGTATTCCCTGATCCATTGCAGTGCCTTCCCTGTTATCCCTGCCTGGTCCTCCAGCTTTTGCACTATTCTCTTGTGTGGAACTGTGTTAGATGCCATTTTACAGTCCAAGAAAATGCAGTCTACCCACCCCTCTCTCTTATCTTACTGCTGTCTCCCTCTCAAAGAACTCGAGTAGGTTTGTGACACAGGATTTCCCGTCCCTGAAACCGTGCTGGTTTGCATGCATGTATGTGATGTGTGGACATCTCAGTATTGAGGAATTCCTGGAAGAAAAAGGCTTGAAGGGTTATTGACTGAAAGATTTTCATAATTTTATATTCTTAAGCTATAAATTTTCCCTTTATTTTCTTCGTGAAAAAGTTGATTTTATATATCATTGATAATACTATTGAAGGTGTTTTTAACGAGTACCTTAAATGTCTTAATTTCATTTAGTATGAGAAAAAATTTTTATCTTAATTTTCAGATAATAAGGTTTATATATGGCATCACCGGAGAGGGAAATTTCCCGTTGTTACACTTGTTGGACATACTCGAACTGTAAACTGTGTGACATGGAACTCCGGTATCCAGCCATGGTCGCTTCTGGGGTTTAGATGATGCTACAGTTTTGCATATGGGGACCTGCACCCCAGTACAGGCCAACCACTTCAAGCCAAAATGGCACAAGTGCCCCTACCAATGGTAAAGTGGAAGATTGATTGTAAAAAACAAACTCCAGAGTCAAGTATTTTTTTTTTCCTTTTTAACACAGATGTAGATAGCTATCGAAATGCCAAAATTAAAAAAAAAGACATTTGGGAAAATTTTTGCCTTTACAGGGTAACCATCACTAAAATAGGTCTAGTCCCTACTTAGTATTTTTACAGTATTTATTATCCTTTTGTGCCCTATTTAATCTGGAAACTTATTTATCTTTACCTTTCTTTGAACTTTCAATTTCTGATGAAAATTAAAGATCCGGGTTCATATATGAATGCACTAAACTAAATTATTCCGCACATACAAGAGAAATGTGAGGCAACTATTTGTTATGTTGTGTGGGGGCAGGATATTTGGTAAATGAAAACATCAAATCATAATCAAGCAATGTATTGGTTTTTTTTTTTTTTTTTTTTTTTTTTTTTTTTCCAACAAGTTGGCCGTCTCCACCGAGGCAGGGTGACCCAAAAAAGAAAGAAAATCCCCAAAAAGAAAATACTTTCATCATCATTCAACACTTTCACCACACTCGCACATTATCACTGTTTTTGCAGAGGTGCTCAGAATACAACAGTCTAGAAGCATACACATATAAAGATACACAACATACCCCTCCAAACTGCCAATATCCCAAACCCCTCCTTTAAAGTGCAGGCATTGTACTTCCCATTTCCAGGTCTTATCATCATTTATTTTTATTTACAACTGCACACTTGATGTACTTATGAACACATCCTGCTAAAAAAATTTCTTGTTTCTCATGCAATCTGACTAAGGATCATCACCGTGTCTCGATATTGCTGTCAGTACATTACAGTGGACCCTCAACCAACGATATTAATCCGTTCCTGAGAGCTCATCGTTAGTCAAAATTATCGTTAGTCAAGTTAATTTTCCCCATAAGAAATAATGGAAATCAAATTAATCCGTGCAGGACACCCCAAAAATATTGAAAAAAAAATTTTTACCACATGAAATATTAATTTTAATACACACAAGCTGAAGATTACATGCACAGTTACATGACACTTAACTTTATTGAAGATCTGGTGATGATTGATGGGATGGGAGGAGGGGAGAGCATTGATCTTCTTAGTGTTTAGAAGAGGAGTGGTATTAGGAGGCAAAAACTTCACCTTAATGAAGCTCATGTCCCTAGAAAGTCGCTCTGCCAATTCTGAAGGATGACCAGGAGCATTGTCTAATACCAGGAGGCACTTAAGGTCTAATTTCTTTTCAAATAGGTAATTTTCACATTGGGGGGCAAAAGCATGGTGTAACCAGTCATAGAAAAAGTCCCCCAGTGACCCATGCCTTACTGTTTGCCCTCCACAGCACACACAAATTAGCCTTGAGGACATTGTTTTTCCTGAACACTCTGGGAGTTTCAGAGTTTATACACCAATAAAGGCTTCACTTTGCAATCACCACTAGCATTGGCACACATCAACAGAGTAAGCCTGTCTTTCCCTAGGCTTTTGTCCTGGAAGTGCCTTTTCCTCCCGAGTAATGTTCGTCCTGTTTGGCATTTTCTTCCAACACAGGCCTGTTTCGTCACAATTTAAACACTTGTTTTAGGTTTCAGTCCCTTCACTGTCTATGTACTCCTTGAAGTCCTGCACATATTTTTCAGCCGTTTTGGGTCCGAACCC